GCTCTCTGTCAAATAAGTAAATAAAATATTTAAAAAATAAAATAAGTTTTCTTGAAAATTTTTTGTTAGTTCTTTGTACGATAGGTATTGCTCAACCACTGTTTTCTTGACAATGAAGAAGACACTGTTTGTTTGCATATATAGCTTTCCAACTCTGATTATTCGTGTCACTTGTCAGCATCCTCTGATATCTCAGAATATCAGAAATTTAGAATGTCTTATAATACATATTTGCTAATGATATTTTTAAATTTAGTGCTTAGCAGTTGTTAAAATAATTGGAGGTTTGTTTTATAGTTTAAAATTATTCACTAACTAAAATATTCATATCTCTCTTGGTCCAGGTTCTAGCAACCGTAATTACATGTTTGAAGTTTTTTGTTCGGTTTGGTTGTGAGGAAGAGGAACGCGTAATATTTTAAAACTATCATCTGGCTTAGGGCAGTTGAGTAAATTAGTTACCAAGCAAACACTTACTGAAAAGCTCTACTGTTCATTAACTCTGAAGGAGCAAATATTTAAACTCATAAAGAAACCAGAAGAACCTAGAGGCATTGTTCAGGAAACAGTTTTGAGGGTGGCGAAGAAGGAAGCATCAGTTTTGAAGTAGGAAGAGAGGAATTGGCTGAGATGTCCAAAGCCAGAGACCAAAATGAGGTGTTGACGTACCCTTGAGTGATGGCGCCAGCCTCCCGCAGGGATTAAAAAGTAAACTTCGTAAGTGATATTGCATATGACTCAGAGACTTTGTATATGGGAAAGAAAAATAAGCCAGGTGTGCTGTGATAGGAATCCCAGAAGCTCAAGCTGAACCACAGAGTTCGGAAAGATTGACTTATAGGATCAGTGCGCTATGGCTTCAGACTTAGGGAAGAACTTTTGGGAGCCAGATAGGGGAGTGTTATGGTCTAAGAGTAGAGAGAGTAACTAATGCGTGGAAATCTGGTAGAGCCCTGGTGTCCCTGGAGAAGAGTAAATTGCAGATTCTGCCCTTGAGGATGAAACAGTGTCAAGGCATATCTGGTCAGACCTAAAATTTGAATATCCGGGATTAATAACTGTCCTGGACATGGTTAATTCAATTCCGTTCTGTTCACAAATGTTACTTGCTAAGGAAAACTAAGACATTGGCCTTGTCTTCCCCTTCTCTAATTAAAGTGACAGATGCATAAATTAATCATTTTAATTGTTAAGTGCAGAAAACAGGAGAGCATTATAGGGGCTGCTTCAGGGGTTCAGAGAAGGAGCATTTGATGTAACCTGGAGCAGTTAAAGAAGGCTTCCTTGAGGAGACGAAATCTAAGATACGTTTCCAGAGGATACCAGGAGTTAGCCAGGTGAAGGCGAGGGAGAATACTGGGATATTCTAAGCATAGACTAAGGGTTAGAGTCATTAAACAGCAGGCAGCTAGTTGCGTGCTTGCCTAGCTTATCAGTCCGCCGTCTGTTAGGTGGGGCTACAAGTGTGAACACTGTCTAGCCACTAGCTTCAAGGAGGTCATAATTTGATTGGTAAGTGGATAGACTACTAACTATAGTACAGTATTTACAGTACAATACGATCAATTTTAAATCTCTGTATTAAAATCACATTGAATTAATGAATTTAATAGCTGTAAGAACAATGTGAGTTAGTTTGAGAGGGATACAGAAATATCAATGATTATGTTAAATTGTGGAAGATACTAAAAAATGTGTAACATTGCCATCACTTAATAATGTTAAGGCAAGCAATAGTTTATACTATTTATGTGACACTTTTGTAGAACTACTTAATAAGCAAAAGTTATAAAGACGGCAGATGCCATTTTTACATTTTTCAAATTTCTCTCAGTGTTATTAACCAACTACCTTTTTTTTAAGATTTTCTTTTTTTTTTTTTTTAAGATTTTATTTATTTATTTGACAGATCACAAGTAGGCAGAGAGGCCGGCAGAGAGAGAGAGGAGGAGGAAGCAGGCTCCCCGCTGATCATGGAGCCCGACGCGGGGCTTGATCCCAGGACCCTGGGATCATGACCTGAGCCAAAGGCAGAGGCTTTAACCCACTGAGCCCCCCAGGCGCCCCTCTTTTATCTTTTTTTAAGTAATCTTTATACTTGGAGTGGAGCTCGAACTTACAACCCTGAGATCGAGTCACAAGCTGTACCAACTGAGCCAGCCAGGTGCCACAAACTAACTGCTTTTGATAGTAATTTAGCCAAAATGCAATCCCCAAAAAGGAGTGTTATCATTGAGCTCATTTTTACTTTGAGATGATGGTATTACCTATGTGTGAAACGAGTGCAACTTTGAGAAAAGCACATTAGAATTAAGTTTTCCTAAAATGTTAGCTTCCAGGTGTGACTTTACTTAAACAGCATTCTTGTGCTTAATTAATAAAAACCAGCACTGTATTTTATTTTCCAATATATCCCCAGAGCTAGGTACACTATAAGGCATGCAGTAATTGTTGTGGGTGAATGAATGGTCTTCTCTGCAACAAATTAAACCCAGAACCACAACTAGGTTTTAACTTAACTCATTGCCTTTTCAGCTTCACTGTCTTTCTTTTGTGTTTGTTTTTTTTAAAGATTTTATTTATTTATTTGACAGAGATCACAAGAAGGTAGAGAGGCAGGCGGGGTTTGGCGGGGGGTGGAAGCAGGCTCCCCACTGAGCAGAGAGCCTAATGGGGCCCCAAACCCAGGACCCTTAGATCTTGACCTGAGCCGAAGGCAGAGCTTAACCCACTGAGCCACCCAGGTGCCCCACTATCTTTCCTTTGTTTTGTTTCTAAATAATACGTTTAAGTCAGATTTATCTTTTAAATGTTATTCATAAGTGAATAAAAATACGTAATCATTAGTGACAGTGAACACTTGCCTGGATAAATGCGTCTTTACCTGCTGGTGCTGTTGAGAAATACTAGTTGGGAGTAGATGAAGAGAAGTAAAACGTGTTATGCTTGGATGATGATGCCATTGCAGGTGTGATTTTGGTTATCCACAAAAACAAATAATTTATTCCTGCAAAGCAAAGTAGAATACTAAGGCAACAATAATAGTCATGAGTATAATAGGATTTTAAAACTTTTGAATTTGCTAGCAAATCACTGTTTTCTTAATTTGTGTGTTGAGAAATAAATGTGGGGCGCCTGGGTGGCTCAGTCATTAAGCGACTGCCTATGGCTCAGGTCATGATCCCAGGGTCCTGGAATGAGCCCCACTTCGGGCACCTTGCTCAGCAGAAGAGCAAGAGCGTCTCCCTCTCCCACTCCCCCTGCTCGTACTCCCTCTCTCGCTGTCTCTCTCACTCTCTGTCAGATAAATAAATAAAATGTTAAAGAGAGGAAGAAAGAAAGACGCATGTTTGTTGGTGCAGTGTGTGAGAGCACTCTCACCACATCATGTAGTCTGACATACATTGGATTTAGCCTGCTTAGTTATATTTTAAATTATCACGGACCAAAGTCTGTTTCTTTCCTGTCCCTGTAGCCTCTTGAAGGTTAAATGAGATATGTGATTTAGAAGAGTTAAAAGTGGGCAGTCATGTAGTTAAAGAGCTCGGAGGCTTAGGTTCCAGTCACAGTTCTGTTGCTTACTGGCCGTCCCCCCTGGACAGGGTCACGGATCTGCTCATGGTAAAATGAAGGGTTTAGGTTAGATGAACTTGGAGTTTCTTTCCAGCTCTGAAACATCGTATTTCTCAAATTCTATGTTATCTAGGAAACCAGAATTTTTTTCAATGCCACCAGCATTTATTTAACATTTTGCAAAAGGCCAGTGGATACCAGTATAGCTAAAATAACAACCCCGCTGTTATGGAGCTTAGAGATCTAAGTCTTTCCCCTTTCTCATGTGAACCTTGATATTAGGTTCATTACTTTATCCCCCACCCCGAAGACTTTATTTATTTGACAGAGAGAGAGAGATCACAAGTAGGCAGAGAGGCAGGCAGAGAGAGCGGGGGAAGCAGGCTCCCTGCTGAGCAGAGAGTCCGATGTGGGGCTTAATCCCAGGACCCTGGGATTGTGACCCAGAGCCGAAGGCAGAGGATTCACCCACTGAGCCACCCAGGTGCCCCTAGGTTCATTATTTTGCTAGAGAGGTGCCTGTGTGGCTCAGGGGTTTAAGCCTCTGACTTTGACTGAGGTCATGATCTCACGGTCCTGGGATCAAGCCCCTAGTCCAGTCTCCCTACTCAGCAGGGAACCTGCTTCTCCCTCTCCTGTCTCCCCACCACTGCTCTGTCTCTCTCTCTCTCAACTAAAATCTTAAAAAAAAAAAAAATTTTTACTACAATATATAGACTTTCTATAAGAGCTTTCACTATCATACATGACAGTACATCATTTATAATAAATACTAATAAAATTAGTGAATATTTAATAGTTTACTGAGGCTCATATCACAAAATCTCTATAATTTCTAATTTCTCCAATTTAGAGATTACCCTTAAGCGAACTAACATGAAGTTTCATGTTCAAGGCAGAACTTTGGTAATGGTTTCCAAACCGTCTGTTACACTTTTGATAATTTTTAATGGGCCACAAAAACACAAATAACTGACAAGGAAATCAAAACAACTTGAATGTGAGGTTGATACTGCGGTGACCTTCTAAATGTTAACAAATACACAGGATGCAGAAAGGGTAGTACAAATGATAAGAAATGGATCGCTAAATTTTGGGGATTTTGAAATGTGATGGCTTAAAAGACCTGTGTAACTGTAAAAGACTTAAAGATAGAGAACAAACAGGGTTGATGGCAGGAGGTGGGTGGGGGTTGGGTTAGATGGGTGATGGGTAGCAAGGAGGGCACTTATGAGAGCCCTGGGTGTTGTATGTAGGGGGTGAATCCATGAATTTACTCCTGAAACCAATATTGCAGTGTATGTTAACTAACGAGAATTTTTTTTTAACTAAACAAAATTTGAATTAAAAATTTGAAAAGAAAATTAAAAAAGACCTATAAAGTAGTCGGTTTGTTTCTAAATTTTTCTATTTTTCTTTTTTTTCAGGTCCCAGAACAGTTTTTTTCTGGGCTCCAATTATGAAATGGGTAAGTCTTGAGTTTTTGCAGAAGCTACTGAAAAAAAAATTTCTTTAAATGGAACTTACTAATTTGAAGTCATCTTTATGAAGAATGTACTTTTTAAATATTCATGGCCTGTCTGGAGATGATTTCATTCAAATAATCTCAGATGTGCCATTTTTACTGCATAAAGTGCACTACCTAGTTGGATTGTTCTGAGCTCTTGAGATAAAAGACCTTCTCTGAACATAATTGTTACCAAAAAGCTTGTAATTGGGACGCCTGGGTTGCCTGGGTCAGTTGAGCTTCTGCCTTCTGCTCAGATCATAAGCCCTGGGGTCAAGCCCTGCTTCCGTGGGGAGCTTACTTCTCCCTCTCCCTCTAACCCCTTCCCGCCACACCTCCAGCTCGTGCTCTCTCTGTCTCAAATAAATCAATAAAATCTTAAAAAAAAAAACCAAAAACCTGTAATTGTGAGCCCTTGAAACTGAAACTTCCTTCCAAGATTTTATGCCTAAGGCAAACATTTAACTAATTAGAACCCCCCCAGATTAACTTTTATTATTAATTTAGTATGTGAACTGAAGATACCAATATCAAAATGCAGGCAAGGGAAGTTAGTCTCAAAAAATAGGAAAAAATTATCTAAGGGTGTGTATTAACATTTGGTAAATGGCAGAGGCTAGGACTTCTGAGTCCAAGACCAATGCTTTTTACCTTATGCCAGAGTTTTCATTCCTAAAGTTCTCATTTAGCTGAAAAGAGGTAATTGTGAAAACAATAAAACAGATAATTCATTTTCTCTTGAAAAGGCCAGTTTGGGCTATAGCAGCAATTCTCGAAGTGTCGCCCCTAGACCTGACGCTTTGGCGTGCCGGGAATGTGTTAGAAATGCAGATTTTCACTCCATCTCAGGTGTACTAAATCTGAAACTCGGGATGGAATGTGTTCTAATAAGCCCTCCAGGTCATTCGGACCCCTCCTAGAATTCGAAAAGCACTGGTCGAGTACTGGTACTGTACAAGGACTGGTAGTCATTTTTTATTTTTTAATTGTAGTAAACTACACATAAAATTTAACATCCTAACCATTTTTTTCGTGTTAAGTACATTCCTCTCTTGGTGCAGCGGATCCCCAGGACTCCTTTTGTCACGCAGAGCCAAGCCTCTGCACCGGTTGAGCAGCTCCGCATTCCCTGCCCCAGCCTTGGCGACCACATTTTACTTTCTGTCTCTATGAATTTTACTACTCTTGGTACCTCAGAGAAGTGGATCTTACAGGATTTGTCTTTTTGTTCTTGGCTACTTAGCACCATGTCCTCTGGGTATATCCATGTTAACAAGTGTCAAATTTTCCTTTTTTTTTTTTTTTAAGTTTGAATAATACTCCATTTTACAGATATCACATTTTGCATAACCATCCATTGTAGATTCACACTTAAGTTGCTTCCACCTTTTGGCCATTCTGAACAGTGCTGCGCACACGGGCATACATCTTTCCCAGGCGCCGCCTTCTGGTCTCTGGGCCTTATACCGGGAGGTGGAGTTGCTGCATCAGTATTCCTTTGAGCACATGCCCCGGCGGCACCATTTTCCATCCCCACCAGCAGTTGGTAAGGAAACCGCATCGCCCTCCGGCACAGTTACTTCCTAAGGCCATCTTAGCGGGTGTGAAGCGGTAGTTCATTGTGGTTTTGATCTGCATTTTCTAATTACTTACGGGGAGAATCTGTTCTTTTCCTGTGCTTACTGACCATTTGCATATCTTTGGAGAACTGTCCATTCAGGCCCTTTGTCCATTTTTTAATCGAGTTGTTTTTTGTTGTTGAGTTGTCGGCCATTTTAATTTTCATAATCATATTGCTTTAAATTGTCAGAACAATGTCAGATTCAATTGTAAAATCTCAGTAGTTGAGAATGTTAGAACTGGCTCCCCCTCAATCTTATGACCTCGGGCAAGTTAAGTCAGCTGTTTTGTCCTCTGGCCCATAAAATGGCTAGAGTAGATTCATGCTTGGGAGCTGCATTTGACAGATAACTAGGGAGAAGTTCTTTTCGTTATTATTATTTATATTGTTAAAATCAAAATTCAACCGCGGCATCCAATTTAGCGAGTAGAGGGGAACTCCCAAGGGCCAAAGAAAGAGAATGTTTTTCAAAGCAGGACAAGGAAGTCATAAACTTTTAGAAAAAAGGATTATTTCCAGGTGAGGTCACCTTCAGTTGGAGACAAAAGAAAGGATCTTGGTAGATGAATTATCTCCTCTTTGGGGAACAGGGAGAGAGTGCCCAGGTGACCTCATTGGTGCGAACCAGAAAATTCCTAAGTGACTGGTTAGGACTGCATTCGGGGGTGAGGTTGAAAGTACGGCCACATTAGGTATTGGTGACTTGGCCTAAGTGACGCCACTCTGGGCCTGTGGTTTTCTTTTTAACAATATATTGAGAAAAGGTCCCATCAGTTAAAAAAAAAAAAAGTTTAAGCATATCACGTTTAATGCTTGTGCTCACTCAAAATGATGAAGTTCTAGAACATACGTGAGGTTCGGTGGGTGAGGTCTGGAACCAATGACCAAGAAAGAATTCTTGAGACATCTTTGGTGCAAAATGGTGGCTTATTAAAGCCGGAGGACAGGACCCGTGGGCAGGAAGAGCTGCTGCCCTGGGCTGTGAGGGGTGGCAGTTATGTACCATGGGGGTGGGGGGGGTGAGGAAAAGGGAGGGTTCGGTGGGACTTTCCTCTGCTAAGAGGACCTGCAGGATCCCGGATACCAGAGGCTTTGCCGTCGCCAGGGTACTTTTGCCCTTTTTAGCAAGCTGTTAAGATAGGTGGGAGGTTCCTAAAGAATGTCGCACATGTCCCACCGAGCAGTTGGCGGGGGGTGCAAGGTGTCAGCCCTTTGCTCTGTCCTCGGCCGGCCTTCTGTGGCCTCACCAGAAGCCCCGCAAACTAGCTTTAGCTGCGTCTGGCGGTGCTGGGTCCGTCCCGCCCTGACTCTGCCGGGTTCTTGCAGACGCGGCGGGTTTGCCGTCCTGCGTGGCGTCTCTCGCAGCCTTTCCCACTGCGCGTTCGCGAACGCCACGGGGGAGAGGGTGCGGGCGTTCCCCGAAAGCGCAGCCGCCGCTCAGGGCGGAAAGCCAAGCGCGAAGGGCAGAGCCGGAGCAGAGCCGCGCCCCAGGCGGCGCGGAGTTACTGAGGAGGGGGCGAGGCTGCTTTCGTCGCGTCTTTCTAGCCCTCCGCAGGGCAGGCGCCGTCGCTGAAGGGAACCACGGCCCCTTCACTGACTGCCGCCCCCGCACTTCGTGGCGTTTTCTCTGGACTCGTAGGTAATTAGTGCTCTGCGCTCACTTTCAGTTACTAAAGACGAGGATTCTCGACACGTGGCTTGTGGTTTTGTGGCCGTGACCCGACCGGGAGTCGCGGATGTCGCCGCCCCCTGCACCCCGTCCTGCCGTGGGAGCCTTTACTGCGGGGGCCGCGACGCAGGTCTGGTCGTCCGCCTCCGCGTCCTGCGAAGCAGGCGAGAGCGGCTCCCTCACGTACACGGTCCTGTTTGCTGGGAGGAGACTCTTCAGAAGAGGCCCAGGACAAGAATTCTAGGGTCCAGGGGCGCCTGGGGGGCTCAGGCCTCTGCCCTTGGCTCAGGTCATGATCTCGGGGTCCTGGGATCGAGCCCCACATCGGGTCCCTGCTCCGCGGGGAGCCTGCTTCCTCCTCTCCCTCTGCCTCTGTTCTCCGCTTGCTCTCATGCTGTCTCTCGCTCTCTCTCTTACATAAATAAAATCTTTAAAAAAAAAAAAGGTCTGGGTCCAGACTGAATTCTGAGTTTTAGTGTAGACTTTAGTAGCAAAGTTTGTCTTGTAAGCTGTTTTACTTCTATTTGTAAACATTACACATTCACATGAATTACTTTCCTTAATACAATGGGATTCCTAAAGGACAGGATGGAAATTATTCTACAGTAGCTATTAAAGATAAGATTCAATTTTATTATTCATTCAACTTCACACATAGTTTTGTGTTTACTTTGAATAAATATGTTTATATAGTAATTCTCATGACTACAGTGGAATTTCAGACGCTTTTTAAATGGCAATAGAGATTATGGTAATCTAGTTGCCCAGCGATAACGGAGGAATAGGTGGTGTAGAGCACCAGCAGAGGAAGGAAAATCTCTCTTGCAGTTTCCCGTAACACAATTTTTATAAATTGTGCACATGTTTAACATAAATGGTGATACCTACAGAGCAGAAATAGAACAGTTGGGGTTGGGCAGGTTAAAAGTCAGTGGGACAGGAAAAAAAAAAAAAACACTTGAAATTTTTGGTGCCTACCACTAATGTGGTCCAGTAAGAAACCCTATTAGTATGATGTATGAATGTCTTTTTTTAAATATTTATAATGTGTTATCTGCTTATTAATTTAATTAAAATGCAGATCAAAGCCAAAACAAACATTCAAAACTAGTGTGATTTTAAAAAAAACTAATGGAAAGTATATTATTATTTTCTTCCTCTTCTCTGTCTCAGCGCTGGAAATTATATAGTAATCATATATCTATAAAAGTATAATTGATTGCTTAAGTATTATTTCTAGTGCCATTATTAAAAGAGTAAGAATTATTTACTCTATAACAAATTTGGGGTTCTCTTTGACCTCAAATTTGCCACAACTTAGAAGTTTACTTATTTTATCAATACTCTGGTGTTTCTTTGATCTGATCCACCAATGTTTTGAAACACCAACAGTATGATATACTCCTAAGTGCCTTGTTGGGTATCTGTCTCCTTTAAAAGCATCTATTTTAAGTTCATGTTGAAATCATGCATAGTCTTCTGATGACAGCATCACGGTGCAAACTGCCTTGTTCTCTGGTGAGGACACTTCTTTTGTTACGTCTTTATGTACCTATTATTCCGGACCGTCGGATGCTCATTCATCTATGGCAGTTATCCACGACATGGAATATTGCCGTCCCAGGCCTCGTAGGCTCTGAATTAAGAATTTCAGACGATACTTGTTCAGAACGGGTGTGGAGTCCTTCTTAGCCACTTGTGTTGAAACCAGAGTCATTGAGGGCAAAGTGGATCATCGTAAAAAACGAACCTTACATACCTTAAATATTTTATTTTCCCTTAGTATGTATTCATTTGCCAGTCCTCTGTAAGGCTAAAGTTCTTATTTGCGGATGGATCCACTTGTTTTGAGTTCCACATTTTCTACTTTGGGTGAATCAGGCTGTGGCGCACCCTGTATGATTTTCACTTCAGGGCTGGCTGGCTTGGACAGTGGCGTGCACCCCGTGTTGGGCTCCCTGCTCAGTGGGCAGCCTGCTTCTCTCTCCCTGTGTCGTTTTCCGCCCTCCCCCCAGCTTGTGCTCTCTCTCTGCTCTCTCTCAAATAAATGAATAAAATCTTTTTTAAACAATCACAATCCTGGGGCGCCTGGGTGGCTCAGTCATTAAGCCTCTGCCTTCGGTTCAGGTCATGATCTCAGAGTCCTAGGATCGAGCCCCACACCGGGCTCTCTGCTCAGCGGGGAACCTGCTCCCCCACCCCCCCACCCCCCCACCCCACTTCTCTGCCTACTTGTGATCTCTGTCAAATAAATAAAATTTTTAAAAAAAAAGCAGAGAAGAAATGACTATGTTGTATACTTTGACGTTAAAGAAAAATTATGCAACTTGAAAACTAAAATTACAACAGAGCTTTTCTGATACTTCCACTTTTTTTTTTTTTTTTTAAGATTTATCTTTCTGTTCCAGAGAGAACGCACATAAGAACACGGGGTTGCGAGGGTGGGGTTGGGGCTGTTGGACACAGGGAGAAGGAGAGAGAGACTCAAGCAGAGTCCGTTCTACCATGAGATCACAACCTGAGCTGAAACCAAGAGTCAGGATGCTTTACCAACTGCGCCACCCAGACGCCCCTGGTGTTCCCACTTTTTAAAAAAGAATGAACATTGACAAAAATATGAAAGGAGGAATCCACAGATTCCCTTGAGTAGTTTCCCAGCACCTCCGCACAGTGGTTTCCAACATGTATAATTTCTTATGTGGAAAAAGTACCATTTGTTAGGGTACCTGCACACTACTGAGTTTCAGGTTTATGAGGCTGTTTCATGTGGTTAACAAAACATAAATTCAAAAAGCATTCCTGAACTCACTAGTTTTCCGCAAGGATACGTTTCCTTACTGCATGGATACTAAAACAGTAGCAACAGTTGTGTGGAAATCTCTGAAATAGGTTTGTGTTTTATGTAAAGTTAAGAATGATTACTGCACAGTCATGATACCTTTTCTCTTGCTGTGTGTTAACATTTCCAGGGCTTGGTGTGTGCTGGCTTGGCTGACATGGCCAGACCTGCTGAGAAGCTGAGCACAGCTCAATCTGCTGTTTTGATGGCCACAGGTAAATCAAATGAATATTCTCTGTGTTCCATTTAGGACATTCAGTATTTTTGTTTTGTTTTACATCGGTTTATTTAACAGTTCAATGTTTGAAGCACATAAACACACTCACAAGGAATTAACAGTGTTCTCGCTGGGAAATTATTATAGATAGAGAAGGCAGAAGAGGGTTACTGTGAGTAAATATCTGCATGGATTTAGTTTTTTATGTGTTTGCCATGAACCTGTTTTTAAAAGTGGGAAAAAATAATTGTTTGCCCTGTAAAGATTCCCTGTTGATGTAAGAATTACATATTTTGTTTAACACTGAACTACAGCAACTTTATTAGACTCAAAGTATAGCATTTCCTTTTCCTTTATCCTACGTTATGTTGTCATGGTCTTATTTATAATTATTTTACTCTGAGTGTTCAGAAGATACTGCAGCAGTACCTGTGCTTTAAAAAAAAAAAAAACCATTTTGTTTCAACAGGGTTTATTTGGTCAAGATACTCACTTGTAATTATCCCAAAAAACTGGAGTCTGTTTGCTGTTAATTTCTTTGTGGGGGCGGCAGGAGCTTCTCAGCTCCTCCGTATTTGGAGGTAAGTCTATCAAAGGTGTAAAAAAATCTGCCTCAGAAGCCACCCAGGTGGCAGTGCTGGGTTTTGTTTGTTTGTTTGTTTGTCTGTCTGTTTTTAAGATTCATGTATAATGCTAGGATGGGATATGCCTAAAGCAGAAATTTCCAGATAAGTTGGGGGGTTAAGTTAAAAGTGTTAAATAGTATGTTTGCTACCTAGGTTTTAAATCTGTGTAATATGTAGATATGTAGCCTGTGCATACAATCTGTTTTAAGGCAACACTTTGTGAAATATTAAATAGTTTTCTCCATGAACCTTTTATCACTCAGTTTAAATTATATGTAATAAAGTGGGACCTAAATGTGTATGGTTATGTAGTGTTGGAAATGCTCTTTGGAGGGAGGCTACTGGTTTTGTCTAAGTGTTCCATGAGCATTTGGAAATGTTTAAAACTTTATAGGCATGCCTTATTTTCTTTCATTTCATTTCATTGTGCCTCACAGATCTTGTACATTTTTATAAATTGAGGGTTTGTGGTAACCCTGCGTCGAGCAAGTCTGTCCACACCATTTTCCAACAGCATTTGCTCCCTTCATGTCTGTGTGTCACATTTTGGTAATTCCCACCATATTTCAAAAATTGTCATTATTATATTTGTTATGGGGATCTGTGATGAGTGATCTTTGATGTTACTACTCTCATTGTTGGGGGGTGGGGAGCGCTACAAAGCACGCCGGCATAAGACAATGAGCTTAACTGATAAATGTGCGTGTTCTGACTCTGCCACCGACCCGCCATCCCCCGTCTCTCTCCCTCCTCAGATCTATCTCCCTATTCCCTGAGATGCAGCAATATTAAAAATAGGCCAGTTAATAAGCCTGCAGTGGGGCTCTTTCCTTTCCAGTGAAAGGAAAGCGTTATATGTCTCTCCTTAAAACAAAAGCTAAAATAATTAAGTTGATTTAGACACGTCAAAAGCCAGTGAGATAGGCCAAAAGGTGACCTCTTGTGCTCAACATTTAGCTAAGTTACGAATGCAAGGAAGTGTTCTTGAAGGGACTTAAAAGCGCCACTCCAAGTGGACACGCGACTGACAGGAGAGTGAAATGGCCTATCACTAACATGGAGAAAGTCTTAGTGATCGGGATGGAAGCTCAGACAGCCACAACGTTCCTTTAAGCCTAAGCCCAACCCGGGGCAAGGCCGTCACTCACTTCAGTTCTGTGAAGGCTCGGGAAGATGAAGAAGCTGCAGAGCAGAAGTCTGAAGCCAGCAGAGGTTGGGTCTCGTTGTGCAAGGAAAAGCCATCTCCATGACATAAAAGCCAGTGCTGATGTAGAAACCATCTGTTCAGAAGATCCAGCAAGTTAGTTCATGAAGGCAGCTACAGTTAACAGATCGTCAGTGTGGGTGAAACAGCCTTGTATTGGAAGAAGATGCCATCCAGGACTTTAATAGTTTGGAGAGGAGAAGTCAGTACCTGACTTTAAGGCTTCAAAGGACAGGTTGACTCTCTTGCTAGGGGCTAATACTTTACGTTGAAACCAGTGCTCATTTACCATTCTGAAAATCCTAAACACCTTAAGAATAATACTAAATCTGCTCTCCTTGTGCTCTACAAATGGAACAACAAAGCCGGGATGATAGCACATCTCTTTACAACATGGCTTCCTGAATATTTTTAAACCCACTGCTTGGGGAAAAATGTTCCTTTCAAAATATTTCTGCTCATTGACAATGTACCTCGTTACCCCAGAGCTCTGATGGAGATGTACACCAAGATTAGTGTTGTTTTCATGCCTGCTAACACAGCTTCCATTCTGGAGCCCGTGGATCAAGGAGTTGTTTCAATTTTCAGGTCTTCTTCTTTAAGAAATACACTTGTAAGGCCATAGTTGCCATACGTTTTGATTCCTCTGATGGATCTGGTCAAGTAAATTGAGAACGTTCTGGAAAGGATTCCCCGTTTTAAATGCCATTAGGAAGATTTGTGATTCATGGGAAGAGGTCAAAATATCAATGTTAACAGGAGTCTGGAAGGAGTTGATTCGAACCTGCATGGATGACTTTGAGGGATTCAAGACTTCAGCGGAGGAAGTAACGGCGGATGGGGTGGACACAGCCAGAGAACTAGCTGGGGACGTGCAGCCTGAGGATGGGACAGAATTGCCACCATCTCAGGGTCAGCCTTGAACAGACAAGGAGTTGCTTTGTGTGGATGAGCCAAGAAAGTGTTTCTTGAATTAGAATCTGCTCCTGGTGAAGATGCTGTGAGGACTGTTGAAATGACGACAAAGGATTCAGAATATTACGTAGGGTTTGAGAGGATCGATTCCAGTTTTGAAAGAAGTTCGACTCTGGGGTAAAATACTATCAAAGGGCATCGTATGGTACAGAGAAATCATTTGTAAAAGAAAGAATCAATTGATGTGGCAACTTCCTTCTTGTCCTGTTTTAAGAAACTGCCACTGCCACCTCGACCTGCAGCAACCACCGTCCCCCAGATAAGTCAGCAGCCACCAACACTGAAGCGAGACCCTCCACCAGCGAAAAGATTACGACTCACTGAAAGCGTAGATGATGGTTAGGAATTTTTAGCAATATTTTAAAATTAAGGTATGTACCTTTTTTCTAGACATAATGCTATTGCACACTTAATAGACTGTAATATAGTGTAAACATCACGTTTATGTGCACGGGGAAACCAAAATACTCATTTGCTTGCTTTATCGTGATACTTGATTTCGTTGTGCTGGTCTGGAACGGAACCCGCAGTGTTTCCGAAGTTCGCCTGTGCTCAGTGTCGCTGACTGGCTTACGCTCTAGAGTGAGCGCATCTTAGATGAAGGCTCTGGCTTTATTTGAACCCCAGAACCTTTCTAAATTACAAAACAATGTTCTTTGGCTAAAAAAATAAATGATCTCAATAAAGAAATAGAAAATATTCAGTTTTAATTTACCTCTCAGAAGGCATTCTATTCTGCAGAGTATAGTATATCCTTATTTTACTCCTCTTAATGACCCCTGGGTTTATAGTTTAACCCTTTCATGATCATCAAGCACGGGTTGGAGAGATGAATGAATAACTCATTCTACAGTATGTGTGCTGTCTGACCAGCATTTTTAAAGCTAACTTATGTCAATATAAACTTCAATTTGTACAGTGATTTTATTCACAAGTATTTTTCTCATCCACCATTTCATTTTAACTTTATATTAACTCAGTAGTAGAGCTAAGGAAATGCTAAGTGCAACATTCAGAACTATTTCTAGACCAAAAACGCAGATACAGTTTGACAAAAGGATTTTTGGCACCTTTCAGTCACAATAGCAGGTTGGGAGATTTAGTTAAAAATATAAATATTGGACGCTGGAGCATTTAGAAAAACCCTGTTGAGTATTTGAAGTCAGAACCTTTTGAGAAACTTGGGAGGTGTGATAGACTTCATGCAACACATTACTTTTTGTGCTTACAGTGTTGTCTACTCTCATCGTCTGGGAAGAGTGGCCAGTGAAGCTCAGGGAAGGGCTCTGTGGCTTTGTGGTTTGTTCTTCTTTAGAGGAATGAGAATTGGAAAAGGAGGCCTTAGCTTTACTCTCCTGCTGACCCAGAGTTTACAGTCGGCTAATAACTCAGTAACCTGCCTACGCACAAAAGTACATTTTATTTTTAATGATTAGACACGATCCCATTCCCAATTTATTTTATTCTTAGGAAAGATGTTCCACGAGTATAAAATAAAAAGTTCTAAATGACCAGATTTTGCTGAATTATATATATATATATGTTCGTATGTTTGTTATACTCTTACATAATTCAAGAATGAAAATATTCACCCAAATAATACTTTTGTATAAGAAACGGCATGTCAGTTCGTTGTTAAAACTCTTTGGCATTGGAAGCCAGATGCACATAAAATCTTGAAGTCACTCTCCCTTCTGCCTGGTTTACCTGCACGCCCCTGAGAAGACCATAGAGCCACAGTGATACAGCCTCCTGATAGAGAAAGAACGAGGAGTATACTTCCCATTCCCTTCTTACCACACATTTATCTCTTGTGATTCGTCATTGTTTCTTTCTGTTTCCTTTATAGATATAACCAAGAACTAAAAGCTAAAGCAAACAAGTAAGAGTTCCTGACCACCTGAACAATCTAGACGTGGATAGAACCACTGGGACTAATTTGACTTATAAGGTGATATTAACTGTGCTACTGTTTGGAAGGCATAAAAAAATCAAATTGTAAACTGGGGGCTAATACTTGATTCAACAGAAAAATAAAGCAAACTTTTAATAACAGTGTTTCTTTATATATGACTTAAGGAACTTATCTATGGATATGAGTAAATTTTTTCCTACCATTTACCCATAATAAATCATACTTGCTCCTACAGACCCTTGGCTTCCTTCTGTTCTAATCTCCCAGAGATGGTTGAAAGGTTAAATAATCCGTTGTATAGTGAAGAATGGTGAAGTCGCCAGAAGTGAAAGGAAATAGAGCTGAAGAGAGTGAGAAGTGGATAGTAGAATGGCGAGCCCAAGGATCTCTACATTGTTGAATTAGATTCTGTAATGGATACACGGTGGCAGAAAAGGCTTCGGGGTCCTAAATTTGAATCCCAGCTCTGTGTTTTGTAATCTATGACTTTGGGCAGATTAAAGTGTCTGGTAGGGTACCCTGGACATAAGTCAGCTCTCTGAGAACATTGTGACCTTTGTCCGTGTTATGAACAGAGACTGGACATAGATTACTCTGTGCTAGAAATAATCGGCAGACTCTCTGATTTGAGCTCCTGTTTGGAGTACTGAGTTTCCGTCTAAAAATCCTAGGAGAGCTGGTCCTCTGTAGAACTGTAGTCAGAGGAATCAGCAAAGCAAGTTATTTCTAAGTTTTAGGAAGCAAAGACAAAAGAACTTTTAAAATAATATGTGTGATCAAAATTTGGCAATTAGTGAAAACCTTGCAGTTTGTCACTTACCCCTTCTCTTTAGTCTTTGAGGAGGATGGTTTAGAGAATTTGACGTAGGCAAAAGTGAAGAGGTCCTGAAGAGCCCAGTTACTGCCGCTTTCCTTGTAGAAACCATGCTGTTAGTCTGGCGTGTGTGAGCACGTGTGTGTGTTTCCTAGGGTTAAGCCTTGAGAATATATCTATTATGAAATAAGACAGAGACACAAAAAAAGTTTATTGGGGCACCTGGGTGACTCAGTCATTTAAGCGACTTAAGCCTTCGGCTCAGGTCGTGATCCCCACATCCGGCTCCCAGCTTATCGAAGCGCCTGCTTCTCCCTCTCCCTTTGCCTGCTTCTCTGTCTGCTTGTGCTCTCTCTGTATCTCTCTGTCAAATAAATAAATAAAAATCTTAAAAAAAAAAAAAAGGCAGAGGATGCTTGTGCTTAGAAAAAAGTTTATTTTTTAAAAGTTTATTAAAATGTATATGTTGAACTGATGTTTCCCTTCCTTTTCATTAAAAACTGCTCTTTCCTATATGGGTTCTCCAAAGCCCCACTTGTCAGTCAAATTAATTGTAGCATTTTTTTTTAAAGATTTTATTCATCCATTTGACAGAGAGAGATCACAAGTAGGCAGAGAGGCAGGCAGAGAGAGAGGGGGAAGCAGGCTCCCTGCTGAGCAGAGAACCTGATGTGGGGCTCGATCCCAGGACCCCAGGATCATGACCTGAGCTGAAGGCAGAGGCTTAACCCACTGAGCCACCCAGGTGCCCCTAATTGTAGCATTTAGATGCAATCACAGTTCTCTTCCTTTTGATTGTCAGAAGTTCCATTGACACACCACCAGCCCATGCTTTCTTTATGCCCCGGAACTCTCATCCATCCCATTGTTGAATCTTAAAAATTAAATGACTCTAGTAAGTATCCAATCAAAAATTCTTACCACTTGAAACATACAGTCCACTGACCAGTCTCACAACTACTCCCAAAAACTGAAAAAGAATTTATATACCTGAAGTCCTTACTACCAATGTATGTACTAAAGTCCGTAAAAGTATTTTTCACAGTGGTACAAATCACTTGATCAGTTGAGGTGATTTCTATGTCAAAATTTCTAACCCATCCTTCTGGAAACTTTCATTAATTAAGTACTGGGTGCCAGGTTTAATAGGCCTGGGTTTCAGCTCAACTCTGCTACATATTACCTGGGAAACCTTATTAACCTTTGTCTCTGGGCTTTAGTATTTTCAAGAGTAAAATGGGGATGTGAGAGTACTTGATAGGATTGTTGTAAAAATTAATTGAAATAATGTTTTAACTCAAGACCTGGTTGATGATTGCTGTAAAATTAAATAAATGTAGGAAGTCTCAGAAAGTGTTAAGCTTATTAATTGAAGGTAGACCCAAAAGGTACTTTCTTGAACCAAAGTATACCTGCTAAAAGGGTATACTGTGTTAACCTGTTTGCAAACCTTCTGGAGTAGTAACTGTTGGAACTCTTGAGGCTTCCACAGGTTAAAGCAGAAAACAAGCTGCTTGGGGTGAGGGTCCAAAAGCCGGCTGCAGAATGTTCAATAAGAGATCGACTCTTTAAAAAAGAAATTTCTTTAATCTGATCTTTTTTGTCGTTTGGCATTCACTTCAAAGAAACACTGATCCAAAGTGCATCAATGCATTTCTCCATAGTAAACAGGTTGTCTTTTTTTCTTTTTAAGTTGTCAAATGATGGTGAAAGGTTGAATCTTAACAAGGATTGACCTCAAAGCCCGGGTTCCTCTCCATAAAGCAAAACAGTTTCTATTGGAGCTTGTTTATATAATGAAGCAAATAGAAAGCACTGGTATTAAAATGGCTTTCTCCCTAAGGAGCCTGTTTAATTATATGAGGTATGATTCTAATTATATTAAGACAGGTTTCCACAACTAACATCAGAAAATTTTCTTGACAAAATATAATTAAATGAATCTTTTCCTCCCTTAAGACAACTGTGTTTTGTAACTGGACTTTGCTTGAGAATGACTACTTGCTTTTTCAGTTCAACTCTTTTAAATTCAAGTTTTAACTAAGTGTCACTTAAATGTTTGTTGTAGTTGTGACATACATAAGAACAACTAGAAAATCAAAACAGGATTTAAGCTGTTAGAAAGTATGCAACTCTCTTGAAACAATTTGCCATTGTCACTTTGGACTGAGAAACCCAAATCCAGTGCCACGTTATATTGCAAGTTACCTTTGGGGTGAATTTGATTAGAAATGCACTGGACCAGTCAAAAAGACAGGAATGTGGGGCGCCTGGGTGGCTCAGTGGTTAAGCCTCTGCCTTCGGCTCAGGTCATGATCTCAGGGTCCTGGGATAGAGTCTCACATCAGGCTCTCTGCTCAGCAGGGGACCTGCTTGCCCCTACCCCTCTGCCTGCCTCTCTGCCTACTTGTGATCTCTGTAAAATAAATAAATAAAATCTTTTTAAAAAAAAGACAGGAATGTAATTCTTTTTTTTTAATTTTTATTTATTTTTTTAATTTCTTTTCAGTGTTCCAGAATTCATTGTTTATGCAACACACCCAGTGCTCCATGCAATACGTGCCCTCCGTAATACCCACCACCGGGCTCACCCAACCCTCACCCTCTTCCCCTCCAAAACCCTCAGTTTGTTTCTCAGAGTCCACAGTCTCTCATGGTTCGTCTCCCACTCCGATTTCCCCCAACTCCCTTCTCCTCTCCATCTCCCCATGTCCTCCCTGTTACTCCTTATGCTCCACAAGTAAGTGAAACCATATGATAATTGACTCTCTCAGCTTGACTTATTTCACTCAGCATAATCTCTTCCAGTCCCGTCCATGTTGCTACAAAAGTGGGTATTCATCCTTTCTGATGGAGGCAAGATACTCCATAGTGTATATGGACCACATCTTCCTTATCCATTCGTCCGTTGAAGGGCATCTTGGTTCTTTCCACAGTTTGGTGATTGTGGCCATTGCTGCTATAAACATTGGGGCACAGATGGCCCTTCTTTTCACTCCATCTGTATCTTTGGGGTAAATACCCAGTAGTGCAATGGCAGGGTCATAGGGAAGCTCTATTTTTAATTTCTTAAGGAATCTCCACACTGTTCTCCAAAGTGGCTGCACCAACTTGCATTCCCACCAACAGTGTAAGAGGGTTCCCCTTTCTCCACATCCTCTCCAACACACATTGTTTACTGTCTTGTTAATTTTGGCCAGGGAATGTAATTCTTCAAACAAAAATTTACCTCACAAAAATCACTAAAGTTCTGAATGCAGAGTTGATAAATTTCATAGTCCTGATAAAAGCCATAATCATTATTGATCAAAATTGGGTGTTTGCTTATTCAGGAGATACGTGGCTTTATGATATCCTACTATTGCCTAATTTTAGCCACCCTCTACGAGGTCAGAGAGTTATGAAAACTACTTTGGGGTCATGTCCATCTCCCCGATCCTTGCCCCACATGTCCAGATGGAGAACCTGAACCAACCAGTCCATGTAGGAGATAGGCCACTGGGACTGGTGGGGGAGGGGAGGGCAGTGCCAGCCAATCAGAAGCATGGTCAGTGTGCATGAAACAATGAGCTTCTGAGGAGGGTGTGGCCTGGAAAACGGCTTTTAGACAAAACTGTCATTTTATGGGCCATACACAGACATGGCACTTCTGCTGTCTTCAGAATAATGTCACCCAGGTCTCTTTCTGTTTTCTGCACTCCTGAAAGAGCCAGTACCTGATCTAGGCTCTGGCTTTCCCTCTGCCTTGAAGAAAGAGGAGGTATGTGGAGTCTCAGTAGGAAGAGCAGCCGCACAGGTGGAGGTGAGATCAGCCCACTGGGGAGAAGCCAGCTGGCTGCTGGCGTTAGAGGCAAGTGGGAGTCCTTGGCTAGGAACCCTAGATAGATAGACAGATGTAAATCTCTGTGTCCGTCTTTGAAGTGAGGTTAGAAACTTGAAATCTTAAATGTTGCCTCATCTTACGTATCTTGGATCCTCTATTTTTCTGGCTTGCCATCTTCATTTACCTCTGTCCCCAACTTCTCCCATGATAGCCTCCTTTTTATTGGTCCTCCAATAGCAAATGCATACCGTGTGAGGCGGGGTGGTAGGAAACAAGGCCATGTAGAATATGGTCTCTAAAACAGGAGTTTACAACTCACAGGAAGACAGCAGATCAATAGATAAGTAAGGATATTTAAGTAGAAAATAAGGCACATCCATTTATAGATACTAAATGTCC